TAAGTATTTTTATTCTTTTGCCTGGTACTTTTTTCTAACCAACTTTTAAAATGTTGCACCTAGGTGGAATCAAGCCTCAACAATGGGATCAAACAGGGCATGCTTCTCGAAGTCTGCCACAAAAACAATCCAGATATTTACTGGATAGCTGAAATCACCATGGTCTGTGGCCACGTACTCCGTATCAAGTTTATAGGAGCTGATTCTGAGTTTTGGTGTGACATTTCCAATACAAAAGTCCATCCTTTAGGCTGGTGTGGAAAGTACGATGAGTTGATTGAGCCACCAGATGAAATAAATGAAAAGTATGGAGACAAAATCATAGATATCATGAAAAATGCCTTGCTAAATGGACAATCAGTGTCTATAGAGGCTTTAAATAACAAAGGATTGTCACCTATTGACAGAATCAAGACTGGAATGAAGGTGGAAGTTCAGAATGTTATTGATCCATATAGATATTGGATTGCTACAGTAAGTATTATTATTAAAAGTTTGTTATTTGTGAGGTATGTATTAACACTCATTGTCCAAAGAATTTGTGTTATGCTCGGCTGCTTTGTTGAGCTGTAGTTGATGTCCAAAGTCTCATTTGTAAAATGTGTATCTTATGTTAATTTTAGTAGAGATCCTCGTGAAAGAGTACGACCACAAAAGTACTGTCACCATACCTATATCGTCTCCTAAGCAATGTGAGCATTATTGCGTTCCAGTTGTGAGGTGGAAGGGTGCTGCTGAAATTACAAGCACATGGAGCTTGTCAATTTATATCTCAGGGTGACGGCCGCTGAGACAGGCTACCGAGATCTCAACTGCATGAAGTCGATAACGACTTTACGCTTTAACTGCATGCAGTCGATGTCGCCTGCATAAAGTCGGTTTCGACTGCATGCAGTCGAGGTCTCGGATAACGATTTGACGCATTAACTGCATGCAATCGAGGTCTCGGATAACCACTTCACGCATCAACTGCATGCAGTCGAAACCGACTTCATGCAGCCGAGGCCGACTGCATGCAGTTAATGCGTGAAGTCGTTATCAACTTCATGCAGTCGTCTCGGCTGCATGAAGTTGATTACGACTTCACGGATTAAACCTGTGTTTAAAGAATGCTGTAACAATTAATCAAGGTCCTATACAAAGTCGATTTGTTGTTCATGTACCAAGGCAACATGAGAAGTCATTCACCTCAACTATGCATATATTTATAAACAAATGGCTTGTAATTTGTTTTTTTTTTTGCGTTCACAAATTCATTAATATTCAAATAGGTTTAAGTCTGGTTTTATATATTTATCTAGAATAGACTACAGAAACATATCAAATAGAAGGCAATTGTGGTATTGAACAATAAGAGCGGCTACATACGACGACTATTAGCAGCGATGCGAACGTGTAACTGCATCGATGCAAACGCGCCATTGCATCGATGCAATCGCCTATAAATCCCAAGTGTAGCAATGCAATCGCACTCTAAGATCCAGAGGGTTGTACGTGTGGCCAGGGCTGGGCAAAATACATGCTACATCTTAATTGAAATACAAATTA